GTGGCCCGAGGGGCGGGCTTCCTCAAGTCAGGAAGGCAGACCAGGAGGCAAAAGGTGCAATGCTCACCTGCCACCTCCACAATCTGGTGCCGGGCAATGTCGTAGTAAGGGTCATCCCACTTCAGGTGAGTAACAGGTTCCGGGGAGCTGCTTTTGGAGTCATCTGAGGAACACCGCAAAGTCAGGGGATAACCTGGGGGGCTGGCAGTGTTCTCCCTGAGACTTGTGTTCTTTGATCCTCCCCCACTCCGTAGGACGTGTGCCCCCAGCCCCACCCTGGGGCTGGTCTGCTTGCCCCCCTTCAACAGAAAGGGAGACTCCCCTTCTAAGGCACCGTAGGGCCTCCTGAGATCCGGAAGCACCCACCTGACTTCGGAAAGTCAGGCATTTCGTCCGACGGCCAGTTCTTCTCATCAATGGAGGCTAGCTTCAGCTGGTTCAGGGCCTGGCTGGTGTCATCCAAGGTCAGGTCATCCTGCAACTCTGAAAGCGGGTCCATGACCAGGCCTGTCCCCCACAGCTGCACTCCACAGAACCTGAAGAGAAACCTGGGGTGGGGGTGGCAAGTCAGGGACACCCTCGTTTCCCTTGTAACTGATACAGCAAACCCTCCTGCTCTCACTCGTTCCTCCCCCAACCTCCCCTGTTCCTGTTCCTCAACACTTCGCATCCTTGCCAAGAGTTCCATGTCGCCCTGGGTTCTCCACAGTTTAGGCGTGTTGCCAGAAAAGGCAGCTGGGGCAGAGGATGGCGCAGCTCGGTGCCTGCCCTCAGGTCCTCCAGCTGGCTAGGGACGAGCCGTGCCGGGCCCTGTGCTGCCCACCGCCCATCTGGTACAGTCATGCAGTCCCAGCTGCAGAGGGGAGAAAAGTCCACGCACCTCTCCTCAGGGGTCATGGAGCAAAGAAGCTTCCCAGTCCCCAACAGTTACAGAGGAGAGGTGCTGCAAGCATCTAAGGTGTACAGAGATGTTCCAAACCCCATTCGTGAAAAAGGTTAATGGTGGCCCTGGCTACTCCTCCTCTCACTTTTGGCCCAGGGAAGAGGAGGTGGCCAGAGACCCCAGGGTCACAGAAAAAAGGCCACAGGCAAGGTGCCCAGCTGGGTTTGCCCCAGGACAGGAACAAGAAGTAAGGGATGGAATCTGCCTGCCAGTCACAGCAGACAATCTGCAGCTTCCTGGGGGCTCCCAAGCCCACTCTAATCCGCAGGGAGCTCCAGATGTAGTTTCAAGGTGGGAAAGGTCAAGAGACTGCCCCAAGGATTGGAGAGCACAGATGGGAAAGGGGGAAGCCCACGGCATCCAGAGCGCTGAGTGACAGGAGGTGAAAACCAGGCCCGCAGCTACAGTAGACGGAGAGGGAGAGGAGCCGAATCGGAAGCTGGGTTTGCCCAGGTCTGGGGCTGGTAAAGGATGTGGCTGCGAGCTTCTGCCCTCGGACCTAACTGGGAGCCAACCCCCTGCCATCCCAGACTCACCATGTGGGTCAGGGAGGGGATTCAATCCACTCAGTCCAGCCCCAGAGAAGAGGCTGCTCTAAGCCACTACATTCCTGGAGCCCAAAAATGACATATATGGTCAGAGAATGGGCAGGACAGATAAAGAGTGCGGACAAGACCAGGCACAGGGTGGGAGAAGCGGGGACAGCTGCCAGCTAGGTTCCAGACGCCGAGCACCTCTGGGCTCAAAGGCAACAGGACAACCTTCAGCACCCATCACCTCACAGCTGAGGACTCTGGATGGTAAGCCGGCCCCCTGTGCCTAGCAACAACCATCCTGTTACCGGAGCAACCATGCTGTTTCAGTGGCAAAAGCCATTCCAAGCTCCTGAGCCAAAGCCAAGCAGCCGAAGAGCCAAACGGCCGTAAATCAAAAACCAAAAACCAAAAAACCTTTCTCTTCCTTTCCTCCGGTCTCTTATCTGCTACCCTTATTCACTCCTGCTGGATACTACCAAAATATAAGTCCCTTCCATGAGCACAGAGAAAGATGACCCTCTTTTATTTGGAAACGCACTTCTCCCAGCGAGTGCTGCTGTGTCCCCCGCCCCACCTCACTCATTCCCCTTCAAGCCTCTAATGCAGGCAACCCTAAGTCTTGAGGAATCCACTCTTGCTTTACCCACAGGCTCCTTCCCCCATTCAGCTGCATGGCTGTCTTCCCCAAAAGGGGACTCCACTGGGTAACAGACACAGAGTTCAGCTCACAATAACCCCTGTTAGGCCTGAGCCTTCTCTCCATGCCTTCTCTTCTGTCACTGCCCACGCACTTGGTGCCCGTTAGCCCTGCCCACAGCTACGCCAGAAGTCTTTCTGCAAACAGTGGGTGCCTGACGCAATGAACAAGGCATGGGGTGAGGTATATGGAGAAGTAGATTATAGTCCTGCTTGAGCCAATGAGTTGCAAGGATGCTGGGCAAGTCTTTTCCTTAACTAGACTTAAATTTCCTTATCTATAGAAGCACAGGCTCCTCCCGTACAGAAGCATAACTCTCCAGTATTCTAAAATACTTGCACTAAAGCAAACAGGATTAGAAGGGACAGCTGCAAGCTGAAGTATGTGTGAGGGAAGGAGACGGACACTCTCTAAAGGGGTTGCTGAACTTGAACTCCACCTCTTTTCCAGTAACTCCTCAATTTTGTCTGTTCTTCCAGAACTGACCCCTCCCCCATTCCATGACCGCCTTTTCCAGCAAAACTAATCACAGTTGTTTCTGCCTCCCAGCCAGACTGGCCTCCAACCCACAGCTGCTTCCCTCTGTGAGCCCTGAAGTTTAGCTCCCGCTCAGTGGGAAGGTGAGGGAAGCCGGCTCAGGGAAATTCTTTTTTATTTTATTTTATTTTATTTTATTTATTTGAGAGAGAGAGAGAGCACATGAGAGGGAGGAGGGTCAAAGGGACCAGCAGACTCCCCGCTGAGCAGGGAGCCCGATGCGGGACTCGATCCAGGGACTCCAGGATCATGACCTGAGCCGAAGGCAGTCGCTTAACCAACTGAGCCACCCAGGCGCCCTCAGGGAAATTCTAATATAAAGTGATGGAAATGAAGTATCCTGGCGGCCCAAGACTCGAGTCACCTACAAGACCTGTTCCACTCTGTGCAAAATATTCCTTACCCTGAGATTAGTATTTCCCCTCTCTGTAGGTAAAACACCTACTTATACAAAAATCTTTGAAAATCATTTTAGACAGAGATTTTAACCTCTGGACTTCTCCGAAATTCTGATGAAATTTGTGGGTTTTTTCCCTAAGAAAAATCAGCACATGCATGAAATCTTCTTTGCAATTTTAAGGGGTTCACAGGCTGTCTGAGAATCCATTTAAGAATCCCTGACCTAGGGACGCCTGGGTGGCTCAGTCGGTTAAGTGTCTGCCTTCGGCTCAGGTCATGATCCCAGGGTCCTGGGATCGAGTCCCACATCGGGCTCCCGGCTCAGCGGGGAGCCTGCTTCTCCCTCTGACCCTCTCCCCTCTCATGCTGTTTCTCTCTCGCTCGCTATCTAAAAAATAAATAAAATCTTAAAAAAAAAAAAAGAATCCCTGACCTAGGGGCGCCTGGGTGGCTCAGTCGTTAAGCGTCTGCCTTTGGCTCAGGTCGTGATCCCGGGGTCCTGGGATCGAGCCCTGCGTCGGGCTCTCCGCTCTGCGGGAGGCCTGCTTCTCCCTCTCCCACTCCCCCACTTGTGTTCCCTCTCTCGCTGTGTCTCTCTCTGTCAAATAAATAAATAAAATCTTAAAAAAAAAAAAAAAAAGAATCCCTGACCTATTCGGCACATAGATGCTCTCATTTGTTGAATGACTGAATGAATGAGGTCATCTCCTAAATGGAGAAGGCAACCAGTATTTGTTGAGGGCCTATATAGCACCATAAAGTAGACAAATTACTTTTTAACTTCACAACAGCACCAGTGAGGTTTATACTACTAAGCCCATTTTACTGTTTGAGGAAAGTGAGGACCAGAAAAAATAAGCAAATTGTTTAGGTAGGTCATACAGCAGAGTCAAGATTTTAATCTATGTCTTTATAAGGTGGTCTTTTGATGCAGGTCAATCCCTCAACATTTCTCTAAATGACTGTCATTCATGTGATTCTGAAGGTTCAGAGAGGGTTCATAAAAAGACAAAGTAAAGCCTCTCCCCTAATCTTCACGAAGAGCTGAGATAACAATTTGAAATAGTATTCTCTGGCACTGGGATCACCCTCCCAGTTGGGGCCCCAGCATTGCGAAAATGCAAATCCCACGATACAATAGCAAGGCTTTCAACTACAAGTGCATTTGTCCAGAGCTTCAGTTTGCAAAACCCGTACCAGGTGTAATTATCCCATTTCAGGGATTAAGAAATAGAGATGAAAGCGTGGCCTAGTTAGTGGCAGGCTGGAATACTTCCCCCAAATTTCTTGTTCTTAGAGCTTCGCCAGATCGGATCAGAGACTTCCCCTTCCCATGGGCTTGCTCGATGACTGCGATCTGACCTGGACTCTTCCCTGGGAAGTGCAGGAGAAAAGCAGCGAAGGAGATGAAGTCTCGTCACTGCAGACCCGGGAGTGGGGCTGAATCCCTGCCGTGGGAAAGTCAGGCTCCTAGGCCCCATCCCACTCCTGCTCCCCCCCTCGGATCCGCTCGGATCATCCCCCTCCGGATCCTGTCCCTTCCGGTGACCTGTCTAGTCTCTTCCTTCCCACCTCCCCCCCGCCCCCCCAGGAAGACCCCGCGCCCTGCAGCTCACCGTGGTCGGGCACTGCTCCCTCTGCCACGCCTGTCAAAGCTCGGCAAACATCCGGCTCCACGGTAGAACGGGAACCGCCCCCTCCCGCGCTCCTCTCCCCAACCACTTCCGCCACACCTCCAACCCACTTCCGGTTCGCTGCCCGGTCCAAATATGGCTTTCCAGGATCCCCGCCCACTTCCTGCACGTGCCGGCGCAAGTGCCGGTGGGAGGGGGGAGGACACCGTAAGTGTCCGACCCGTCCCTCCCAAAAGGAGGTGGTTGGAACAATTAGTTCCGCTTTCTCTGATGCTGGAATCCCTGGTGGTCCTCTGGAATCCTATGGTTCTTATTGTTCTCGGACGGAGTTTTGCCTCGTCGGTATTCCCCAACTCCCGGGTCTGTGCACCGATAAGTCTGGCTCTTAGCATTCTTTCCTGACAGGAAATTTGGAAGCCGATAACTGTTTCCGGGGGGAGCGGAGAAGAGAACACTCACTTCCGGCGGAGGGAGGCTTTTCTGGAGGGATGGAGGAGGCGGAGGAGCTGCTCTCCGAGGGCGAGAGACTGCGGTTCGGTTAGTGACCTGCGGTGTCTCCGACCCTCGGCCTTGGCCTTAGATAGACCTAACGTTCCCTGCCTGGTCGACTCTCTACCCCAGGCCCTTTTCTTCCCTAACCCGGGATCCTCCTCCGGTGCCCTTAGAAGTCTCTGGGGGCTTCAGCGTCCTAGAACCCCCTCAAACTTCCGAGCGGCCCATTTAGAGCCCTTAGATCCCTCAGACTGCCAAGGCCTAGCCGGATCTGCGGTTTCCTCTTTCACCTATCCCCACCCGCACGTCCTCTTGGGTCGCCCCCTCACTGCTTCCCCATCTCCCTGCAGCCCCTGACCCGCGCCTGGGCCCGGACTTGGGATGGATCCCTTCTGGACAAGGCTGTGCTCAGGGCCTCAAGGACTTCCCGCCCGGGGCGACCCGGGCCTTCCTGGCTCTAAAGAGCCTCCCCCGGGGCTTGGCCCTTGGCCCTTCACTCGCCGAGGAGCAGCGCTTAGGGGTCTGGTGTGTCGGGGAAGCCCTGCAGCCTGGACTGCTCTGGGGGCCGCTGGAAGAGGAGTCTGTATCGGAGCAGAAGGATGAAGGAGTGAAACCGCGGCAGGAGGAGGTATTGAAGAATAGGACTTGTCCTCTCCGTGACTGAAATTGTGGAAGAGGTTCAGCCACTTCTGGACAGCTCTTCAGTTAGAAGAAGCAGGGTGTTTCAAGAGATAGGTGATAGTTTTGCCCCTTCTCTCCAGGATTGTCTCTTCCCCTCACTTGCAGTAGTTAGGGAATCAAGGTGCAGAAAGGTGCTGAAAGCTAGATTAGTATAGTGTCAGGAGTGATGAAAATCAAGAGCAAAGGTGGTTAGGATTAAAAAGCCATGGAATCAAATCCCAGCTTTGTCACCTAGCTAATGAAATGACGTGTGTCGTTTAACTCATTTGTAAGGTGAAGGCATGGCCGTTTTATTGTAATCTTCCAGGGTTATTTGGAGCAATAGATGAAATAGTGCAGGTAAAGGGTTTGGTTGCATAGTAAGTTTTAAAAGATGATGTACCTCTTAACTCCTTTTTTTGTTTGGTACTCACTGGAAGGCAGTAATGTGTTCAATTTAGTAATTCTCCACACAGTGGGAGGGAGGTGAGGGGGATAGTCTTTTGGTCTTTACTGGATGAAACATCAGACAACACAGTCCTGTAGAGGCAGAACCAGAACATTAACCTTCCAGGGGCTTCGTATTAGATCTGTCTCAGGAGAGGTTACATCCCTTTTTTCCCCCACCCTGGTCCCCCCAAACACATGGGAGAAGGACTCTTATTGGTTTATTTCAGGACGTGTCACTAGGCCCATGGGGAGACGTGTGTGCTTGTGAGCAGAGTTCAGGCTGGATCAGGTAAGTTACAGGAGAGTATGTAGTGAAGATGGTCCTTTTTGAGGCTTTCTGTCATGGCATGAGACGGAACCAGAAGCCCACTGTAATTCCCCACCCAATGAGTTTTTGCAGTGAGTGTTCCAAAGGCATGGGGTCTTTAGGACTCGGACTGCCCAGAAGCTGGGACTTTAGGGAGGGCCACTTGAAGAGGGTCTCCTGAGCTAGCTCTTCCTCTGCTTTGCAGTTTGGTGCAGCGGGGCAGGCTGGAAGGTGAGGGGAACGTGGCCCTGGTGCGGGTCAGCGAGAAGCTCCATCTGCAGGTGTACCAGGTCGTACTGCCAGGCTCTGAGTTGCTACTGTGGCCCCAGCCTCCCTCTGCGGGCCTGAGCCCCACCCAGCCCGGGCTAGAAGAAGAGGCAGCCATGGCTGTGGTGACAGAAGTGAACTCTGCTGTCCAACGGGAGGTGGACTCCCCAGGGCAAGATGCAGCAGAACCTTGGGCAGGTATGTGGCAAACAGATGCTATCTTCCCAAATTATCACCAGAACAACCTGTTGATAAGACAAAGCAAAGCTTTGAGAATCACAGAGATAAAGGAGAACATTACAGTCTTAGTAGGTTTTCTGAGGGGAAAGGGTGAAGCCTGAATATTTATTGAAATTTTGAAGTCTGGTATAAGGTGGGTATTCCAGTGTGGAATGGGGGCGGGGCTTGATCGGGATTGAATAAGGATCATGACATAATCGTTTAGTATCCATGGACCCCCAGGCTAGAATTTTCAGGCAAGAGGCTCAGAGAGTCTTGGGGGTATAACTTGTCATTTGATGCTTTCTATTGCAGAGTGATGGGTCTTTTCCTTAGAACGAACAGTATCGGTATTTATCTTCCTGAGTAAGTTCTCTGGAATAGTAAGGTCATGTTGATGAAGACAGCAAGCTGTTTATAAGGTTTCCAATTTCTTATGTTTCTTCTACCTGGGGTGGGGGTGGAAGTTCCTTTATTTTCAGACAAGATAAGGTGAGGAGGTGGTGGCCTAATTCATCCTAAGTGTGTGTCTCCAGAAGGAGAATAGGGCCTCTGGGATAGCCTTCTCTATGACTCTCCGGAGGTTTGGAGAACCATGGTTCCCAAGAGTGCTTCCCCAGGAGGCACCTGAGACCGGACATGAAGTTAAGCAGAGCATGTGGTTCATGTTCCAAGGAAGAGATCGGTGTTCTTGCTCCTGCTGAAGTTCAGGGGCTGAGTAGGAAGAGACGCATATTCTTATAATTTCCTGGTGACAGCATTGCCACCACCTGCTACAGTTTCTCCTGACCCCAGCACCCCACTCTTGCCTTGCAGATCCTGGTCACCAGCCACCAACCCCCAGCATCCAGGCAGAGAGCATGGGAAGCCCTGGACTTAAGCCCCAAGCCCAGGATCAACTTTCCAAGGAGAGCCAACCGCTCGGCCTGCCCCCTCAGGATGGCGGCATGGAGGAGGAGGACCCACCCCAGACACAGGTGCCACCTGAACCTCCGAGCAGCTCTGCGCCCCAGCAGGGCCCAGAGAGCAGTGAGGCCGGTTGCTCGCCTTCTGCCAGGGGCAACCAGCTGCATGCTTACCTGGTCAAGAAGTTACATGGCCCCAGTGGTCAGTGCCCACCCAGAGAAAAGACCTCGGAGCCCAGGGCCCAGCAGGCGGGAGAACAGCAGGGGCCGGTAGGCTTCCCTGCACGCTTGCGGAGCCCTGCCGGCCCAGCAGGAAGCTCCCTGAAACAGAGGCGGCGGTACCGGTGTGGGGAGTGTGGCAAGGCCTTCCTGCAGCTGTGCCACCTGAAGAAGCACGCGTTTGTGCACACGGGCCACAAACCCTTCCTTTGCACTGAGTGTGGCAAGAGCTATAGCTCGGAGGAGAGCTTCAAAGCCCACATGCTGGGCCACCGTGGGGTGCGGCCCTTTCCTTGCCCACAGTGCGACAAGGCCTATGGCACCCGGCGAGACCTCAAAGAGCACCAGGTGGTACATTCAGGTGCCAGGCCCTTTGCATGTGACCAGTGTGGCAAGGCCTTTGCCCGCCGGCCCTCCCTGCGGTTGCATCGCAAGACCCACCAGGTGCCAGCTCCCCCTGCCCCGTGCCCATGCCCCGTGTGTGGGCGGCCCCTGGCCAACCAGGGCTCCCTGCGGAACCACATGCGGCTCCACACGGGCGAAAAGCCCTTCCTGTGCCCGCACTGTGGCCGGGCGTTCCGCCAGCGGGGCAACCTGCGTGGGCACTTGCGGCTGCACACAGGGGAGCGTCCTTACCGCTGCCCGCACTGTGCTGACGCCTTTCCGCAGCTGTCTGAGCTGCGGCGCCATCTGATCTCGCACACGGGGGAGGCCTACTTGTGTCCCGTGTGCGGGAAGGCCCTTCGAGACCCACATACACTGCGTGCTCATGAGCGTCTGCACTCAGGGGAGAGGCCCTTCTCATGCCCCCAGTGTGGCCGGGCTTACACGCTGGCTACCAAGCTGAGGCGCCACCTCAAATCCCACCTGGCCGACAAGCCCTACCGCTGTCCCACCTGCGGCATGGGCTACACCCTCCCCCAAAGCCTCAAGCGGCACCAGCTCAGTCACCAGCCTGCTGCTGCTTCTGAGCCCACCGCGGTACTCTTGCAGACTGAGCCAGAGCTAGACACCTGCAGGGAACAGGACGTCTCCCCAGCCCGGGACGTCTTTGAGGTCACCGTTTCTGAGAGCCAGGATAAGTGCTTTGTGGTACCTGAGGAACCAGGCCCCACTTCCAGCCTGGTGCTCATCCATAAGGACATGGCCTTTAGTGCCTGGGCAGAAGTGGTGGAGGTAGAGACGGGCACCTGACCCACCCTCTCCCCCAGGGGAGTTCTATATAAAGCTAGTGTTTTCTAGCTGCTGGGTGTCTGCGTCTTTCTCTTTGGGTTGCCTGATGGAGTCTACTCTGAGAAGCAGGTCAGGGATTTCCCTTCCTGTTTATGGACCACCGCATTGTTTCCCAGGACTGTAAGGAAAACCTGTTCTAGGTTTAAGAACTTCTTACTGACTTCCAGTAGAACTTGTTCTGCTTCCTTCTCCAGGAACTCCTCGAGGTGCTTGTCCTTTAAACGTAGCGGAAGTGCCCCCCCCCACCCAGGTAGTCCTGGAGCTGCCCTGCTGGGGTGCTTAGGGCTGGGATCATCACTCCCACTGAGCCCCCTGAGGGACAAGCACTTCCATCTTGAACCAAATGGAGTGACTTGAGGGTTAAAAGGCCAGAGGCTGGAAAAAAAAAAAAAGACCAGATGCTGAGCTCAGCTCACGGCTCACAGTTCTCTCTAACTTGGGCTGTAGCTGGTTTGGGCAGCCTTTCTCACCATCTGAGGGCTGTGACATTGGTTTTCTTTCTGTGCTGACAGACACCAGACTCAATGAAGGCAGCCTTCTGAAGGAGCCTTCTGAAGACCTGGCCAAAGATAGCCCTATTGAGGGAAGGAATGAACACAGTTTTGCATCAGCGGTGGGCCTGGGCCACCCTGGGTGCTAGGACGTGGCTGTGAGCCAGACCGGGGCGACATCCTTTACAGAGCTCATGATGTAGGGCAGGAAGCGTTGGACAAGAGTTTGCAGAGGATCTGTAGCTAGTGCCACATGGACGTGTTACATGGGATGGTTTAACTTGGCCTGGGGCATCAGGGACAGTGTCCCCAAGGAATCATGGTGATAAACACTCAGCCCTTGTCGTGGGCTAGTTCTTCATGTTTATTTATATAATCTTCATGCAGCCCTGTGAGGTTGGTGGTAGTAGTAGTATTCTGGTTTTACAGATCAGGAAACAGCTTGAAGTGTCCTGCTCGAGGCGACAGCTCCTAGGAGGTGGTAGAGCCGAGACAAACTCTCACGGTCTCATGCTGGAGTAAGGCCATTAATCCTGGCACTGCAGCCCTGCATCTCAGCCTGATCTGCTGGGTGCGAAAGGGGAGGGGCCGGGGGCTGCTTGTGGGGAGCCATGTGATTAGAGTCGGGGAGGTGGGGGGAAGCTGTGAGCAACAGGCCAATGGGGCTGGGGCAGAGAGCGAGGGGAGGGGGCGGGGCCGGGTCACACGGCCTTGCTTCAAGAGTTGGGGCTTTATTCTCAGAACATTGAGAAGGGGAATGACGTGACTAGATTTGTGTTTGAAGAGACCACCGAAGGATGGATTGGCTGGCGAGGTGTGGTTGTGGGCAGTGGGGTTGTAGCGGTAGAAATGCAGAGAGATGGAATCATTCATCCAACACGTGAGCGCTTCCTGCATGCTAGTTAGGGAGATGGCGTAGGAACAGCCTCTGCTCTCCCAGTTACAGCCTGGTGTGCAGAGACAATAAACAAGACCCGTCAGATGACGGTAAATGCAGTGAAAAAAAGGCAGGGGGAGAGGTTAAAATGGGGAGCGTGATTTTACAGAGGGCGGTCAGGGAAGGCCTCTGATAATATGAGCAGGAGCAGAGACCCAAACCATGGAGGAGATGAGCCACGTGGATGTCTGGGAGCTGGATTCCAGGGAGAGGGAACAGTACTGGCAAGGTCCAGCGGGTTCAAGCAAGAGCAAGGAGCAGAGTGGCCACGGCAGAGGACGGACGGAGGTGAGGGCAGGTTGGGGACTGCAGACCGTGGTGAGGACTTGGGGCAGATATGTCCTCTGAGAGAGAGAAGTGACAGAACTCATGGACTGCGGGAAGGAGGGAGAGCTGACTCCTGGTTTCTGACTTCGTACGTGAAGTGGCACTGGGGTGGGAACGAGACAGCATTCTGGTTGGGGGTGGGCCGAGTTTGAAGCGCCAACAGTAGAGATCACAAGCAAGCGGTCAGAAGTCGGCCAAGAGTGGGAGAAGATTGCTGCAGAGGGAGAGGCACGACAGACGCTAGTGGCTAGGTGGGCATCGAAGGAGGGGGGTGAGCAGAGGGGAGGGGCCGGACCGCCGTCCACATGGCCCAGCCCTCCGGGGTCACACAGGGGACGGCGGCTCTGCAAGGGACACGGAATCTGCATCCAACAGGATAGAAAACCCGCCGACTACGTGTCACAGAAGCGGATAGAAGAGCGTTTCACCAAAGAAGTGGGCAAGAACGTCTGCTGCTGTCGAGACGGTTGAAGTCTGTGAAGGCCCTGAGGAGTGAGGGCAGTTGGAAGCCAGACTGGATTGCTTTGAGGAGTAGGCGTCAAGAGAGGAAGAACTTAGATTCTTTTTTTTTTTTTTTAAAGATTTATTTATTTATTTGAGAGAAAGAGCACAAGAGGGGGGAGCGGGAGAGGGAGAAGCAGACTCCCCGCTGAGCAGGGAGCCCGATGCGGGACTCGATCCCGGGACTCCAGGATCATGACCTGAGCCGAAGGCAGTCGCCCAACCAACTGAGCCACCCAGGCGCCCAAGAACTTAGATTCTTCTTCCTTCCTTCTGTCCTGCAGAATAGGTCTTGTGACCCCTGTGTCACAGATGAGGAAACCCTGGGTCGGAGCGGGTGGGTAGCTGGCCGAGATCACACAGCCAGTAACTGGCAGAGCCAGGACTGAAACGTGGGGTGTTCTCTGGCTTCCCAGCACTCGATCACAACGTCACGGGCAGCCCAACGTCTCCTGCTTTGCCCCTGACATTTACCCAGCACCTACCCAGTCGAATAACCTGTTGACAGAGCATTCTGAAATTGTCCACGGGGAGGGGGGCAGCAGGAAGTCGTGGCGCTCTGGAGAGAAAGGTCATACCATCCAAAGCCTGAAAAATAGCTGCTAATAGTTTTGAGTGAGCCAGCCCTGCTTCTTGGAGCCTGCGTGAGCCGTGCTAGGTCCTGTTCTTTCCCAACCCCCGCTTCTGGCAGGGTCGTGCCGGCTCAGAGGGCTGCTCAGCTGGCGGCGTGTGCCCAGTGGTTTTAGGAATCCTGGGGACATTCTCATCACGTGATCCCCAGCTGTGCAGCGAAGGACATACTCCTCACTCGGTAGTGAGCTGTGTAGGCAAGGTGGGCATGCTTTGGGTTGCTGGGGAGGCCTGTCCACACCCCACAACCCTCCTTAGGCCCAAACCTGGGATGCTCGCACCCCCTTGCTCCATCCCACACACAGACGAAGAACTTTTCTCTCCGTTAAGGCTGTCCCTATGTGATGCAGAGCGGGGTCAGATCCAAGCCAACAAATCCAAAGGCACGTGGTTTGGGAGCCTCTGCTCTCCAGCATTTGTGGTAAGATGTGAGCAGGCATGGGGGGGGGGGGGGCACTGTGCGAGCTCCCTGTGTTAGAGGAGGACGCGGGTGCCTCGAGAGCAGTCGTTGCCAAGGCCTGAGACCAGAGAGTAGCAGAACGAGGACAGGGCCCAGGTCTTCCGACCCCTAATTTAGTGCTCTTCCAGTTAAAACGCAGTGACTGTTCTTGAAAAGATTAATCTCTGGAGTACTTTTTTCACTGAGGAAGTACCTTCCCCTGATGTCAAAATAATTCTTGTTCATCCTAATGGTAAAGTTCCTTTATTCCCTACTTCTTTCCTCCACCCCCGGGTAAACTCACTTTTTTTCCCCCCAAGATAAAGTCACTTTTAACAGTTTGGTGCATATATTACTGAACTTGAATGCCGCTGCTTGCTCTAGGGCGAAGGTGCTATGAAAATGTTGCCGGACACCTTAAACCTGGAGGCAGCTTTAACTGCGGAGTCTACAGCTGCTGAACTGAACATCAGGAGGTGTAGGAGATTAAGGATCTTTTATTCTGGGCGCCTGGGTGGCTCAGTCGTTAAGCGTCTGCCTTCAGCTCAGTTCATGATCCCGGGGTCCTGGGATTGAGTCCCACGTGGCCGTCCCTGCTCAGCGGGGAGCCTGCTTCTCCCTCTCCCACTCCCTCTGCTTGTGTTCCTTCTCTCTCTGTCAAATAAATAAAATCTTAAAAAAAAAAAAGGATCTTCTTTCCCCATTTGCAACTTTAACAGTATGAGAAAATCTTACAATAGAATTATATTTGAATCACTTTTAGGGACCTGTAAACAAGGAAAAGCATTATGAACTGTAAAGAGCTCCATCTCTAGACAGGTTCAGCTGTGGACTGCATAAACTCAAGCAAGTTACTTGGCTTCTCTCTGCCTCAGTTTCCTCATCCATAAAGTGGGGATAATTATGGTACCTACCTCATCAGTACTATGTACCCGGCACGTGGTGAACAGTTAATAAATTGTAGCTGTGGTATTGCAATCAGCCCTCCTAAATTGGAAGACAAGATTAAGGTGCTTGCATGTTTCCTATAGGTGTTGCTTGTTTGGGGCAGGTCAGCATCATGCACAATAGTTTCATACATCGGGTACATGTGCACTGGGTATGCTTCATAGAACAGGGAGGCTATACTCTAGCAGAATGCCAGGGGATGAAGGTCATGTGAGGGGAAGAGCAATGGTCTGAGAGGCAGGAATCTGAGTCCTGGTCCTAGCTCTATCACCAACTCTCGACAACCTTGATCAGTTAGCTCCCCACCTGGGGAGATTCCCTTTCCTTACAGTGACATGGGGAAATAGGACCAGATCATTGCTTCCCAATCTCAGCTCCATCCTTGAGCCCTTTTGCTAACTTTTTCTTCTATGGATCCTTTTTAAAATTTTTTAGATTTTATTTATTTGAGAGAGAGGGACAGCACAAGTTGGGGGGGATGGGGAGAGACAGAGGCAGAGGGATAAGCAGATTGCCCGCTGAGCAGGGGCTCAATCCCAGGACCCTGGGATCATGACCTGAGCCGAAGGCAGATGCTCAACTGACTGAGCTACCCAGGCACCCCTGGATCCTATATTTTAAAAGCTTTTGATTAAACAAATTCACTCCTTTTTAAAAATTCTTTTGAAAGATTTTATTTATTTATCTGCCAGAGAGGGAGAAATTCACTCATTTTAAAATGCTGATCAGATTGAGGGGAAGAAACAAGGTAATTAACCACCTCAAAAGACATAATTTCAGCGAAAAAGGGAAAAAAATTATTCTTGTCTTAGGGTAAATTTGTAATTTTTTTAAAAGATTTTATTTATTTATTTGAGAGTGAGCACAGAGGGAGAGGGGGGAGCGGCCTCTCTGCTGAGCAGAGAGCCCAATGTGGGTCTCAATCCCAGGACCCTAAGATCATGACCTAAGCTGAAGACAGACACTTAACCAACTTAGCCACCCAGATGCCCCTAAATTTGCAATTTTTGAGAGTTTAAAAAAATATGCATAAGGACAAGGCCATTCTTAGTATATGCACAGAGCCCTAGGCTTCAAAACGTCTGGATTTAATGATACCTGACCCTCTTTCCAGCTCTGAAATTCTGTCTTGGAACATAATTTTACTGTTTTCAGTGATTACAGAGCTTCATTTGATAACACAGCATTGGCCTTATCCATGATTTTGTTTGACGTCAACTTGTTGGGAGAAATGCAACCTCTCATTGTCGCCTTGTGCTTAGAGGAAATGTGATCCGCTTTAAGTGTGCAGGCATGTGTTTGGGGTGAGAAGCAAGAAGGACGTGTTCAGTTGCATGGCACCACTGGGCTCAGAGGGTTCCAAGAAGAACAGTTGCTAGAGGCTGGGGTGCTTGTAGTGAACCCTGAAGCCCGGGTTGCCACCCAAGCGTCCCTCTCCTTGGTTTCTATTATCCTGAGCAGTCTCTCCAACCCACCCATTTCCATGTCATGAATTTGCCAGAGAGACTGGGGCCATTTGTTCTGCTAAATGTCTGTCATTCCTTGTGGTGGTGGCTAACTTCTTCCTTTATCATCTGTATTTCCTATAAACGAGTAATTAAATCTAGAGGCTCATTTAATTCAGTTTCACTATTTTAGGAAGAGCCCTTCACAGGCAGCATTGTGTATTTCCTGTTTCATATGTAATAGTGGTGTTTATTGGGTGCTTTTTATGTGGCAGGCATTGTGATACTTTACAAACATTAATACTTTGAAGGGGTAGCTTAGTATTTACTTCATAATGATAAACTTAACTCTGAATCCAACTAGATTAGAGGGAGACAGGGATATGTGGACTCCAAAGAATTGCAGCAAGTGAGAACCCGAAGATCACAAACTCTGAGAGCTGGGGGTGCTTCTGCAGGGACAAAAGGAATGGTGTAGATCAGATAAAATGCAAAACCAAATTTATCAGAATGGCCTAGAGTCTTGCTGGTCTTGTCATTCCTGGACACAAAACACCGTGGCTTTCACAATATCCACACTGTCTCTCTCCTCGCCAGAGTGCCCATGCTTGCCATCCAACCTATCCGTCTTAACCACGCAGATGACAAACTGGGAGCCATTTCAGTGGGGTCCAGCATTTGCCATGGACAAGATGTCAGGACCCATCGTCTTCAAAATGAAGTTCTCATCAGCGAAGTTCTCCCTGCTAATTGGATTTGTCACTGGTACCACGATGTGTGAATTCATCACCCCAACACATAAATGCAGGCGTAAGTCTGGGAAAGCAGGAACCAAATCTAAGCAGAAAGCTTCAGGTATCTTCCCAGGGCCTAGAGAACCAAGTTTTCTGCTTTGGAATATTGTCTGCAAACAGCTTGAGGAAGACATGGCCCAAGACGCCCATTAGTGGTCATATCTGCGCATGAGCATGCTGTTGGCTCAGCAAGTCCGCAAAGAGGCCAGTATGAGTTTTTCAACAACAGCCTTGCAAAGCAAATACTGTTCTAATTCTGATCTTATAGATGGTGAAACCAGGCCTGGTGCTCTCTTTTATGCTGTGATGCTTGTCTGTAGGGATGGGGGAGTTCTGACAGTGAGGGAACAAGGGGACCCTGAAGCCTCAGTAGAAGAGGTGCCATGTGTTGTGTGTTTTGCCCTCCTGGCCAACACCCTCTACTCTTGCCTTTTCTCCCTCTCCTGGTTGATTCAGCACTGGCTCCAGCTGGTCCTCAGAAAAAAAGAGGATCACCTGTCTTGAAGCAGGAAGGAGGAAGCCACACCTCTCTTGTCCACTTCTCGGGAGCCAAAAAAAAAAAAAAAAAAGTAGGCTCAACTCCCTCAGTGAACAGGGAATCCAAATGAAAACCACAATGAGACACCTGCACGTGTATCAGGATGGATAGTGTGAAATGGATGGACAATATAGAGGGTTGGTGAGGATCTGAACAACTAGAACTCTCAAGCACTGCTGGTGGGGGTGTAAGCTAGTACCACCACTCAGGATAACCATTTGTCCGTGACTGGGGCAAAACATATGCCTGCCCTATGACCCAGCAAATCTATGCTTGCACACAACTCTGTAGTGGCACCACTCATGCAGCCCGAACAGGAAACTAATCCAAATGCCCATCAACAGGCATCCAACGGATAGTCATGCAATGAGATACTACACAGCTTTTAAAGGAATGGACCGCTGATACATGATACACACAATCTGGGAAGCCTCGCACAAACAGGTATATGCTGTAGGTTTCCATTTCGATGAAGTTCAAAAATAGGCAAAACTGGTCTAGAGTGATGGTGGTTTGAGTAGTGGCGATCTTAGGGACAACAGGCAGAAGTCTGGGGCTAAAAATGTTGATCTGGTGGTGGTTACATGGGCATATGCATAAAAACGTGACTTAAACACAGGATTTGTTCTAACATTACTGAATATAAGTTAAATATAAGTTAAACCTTGGGTTAAAAAATATATAGAAAAATTGGAATATAGGGCGCCTGGGTGGCTCAGATGGTTAAGCGTCTGCCTTCGGCTCAGGTCATGATCCCAGGGTCCTGGGATCGAGTCCCACATCGGGCTCCCTGCTCCTTGGGAGCCTGTTTCTCCCTCTGCTTCTCTCTCTGTGTGTCTCTGTCTCTCGTGAATAAATAAATAAAATCTTAAAAAAAAATTGGAATATATTTATCTATCGATATCTATCTATCTATATATATCCTGTGTGTATATATATATATATATATATACACACACAGGAACTGGGCCACCCAGGAATTAAGCTGATTCATGGGAGTCCTGAGCCCCAGTTCTGTGCGAACCCTCTCCCTGCCCTGTGATCTTCCCAGACTCTACGTGATGGTGGTCTAGACCCATACAGCTGGGCCTGAAGGATGGCAAAATGGGATCCCTGTGTTCCTGCTCTTTGTCCTTCTGTCCTAATTAGACCCAGGACTAATATTTACCTTGTGGAAGGCAAACAGAAAATGGGGGAGGGATGGGAGCAGGGCTGGGCGAGGGGCAGCGTAGGACCGGCGGCCACTCCAGGCCTGGCCCGGGACAGGTAGAGAGGAGGAGAGGGAGGGGCCCTGCTGAGGAGACCCAAGGATTTGGGCTGGTCCCCGTTCTGGGGCCAGAAGCAGGTCCAAGGAGGTGCGAGAAAATAGACCAGAGGCTCAAAGGCCGTGGGCCTGGCTCCTCCTCCTGAGCAGCCACTACACGTGGATACCCCTCCCCAGCTCCCGGGTGGGAACGTGGTTGAGAGGCAGCTCTCATCTGGCCGCACCCTGGTCTCAGCTTTCTCAGATCTGTGTGTTGTGATTACATCAACCTCCCTACTGGTTTATGTCCATATACCTACTGATTGTTAAGCACTTACTACATTTCACGGGCATTACATTCATAATCTCCTTTAGTCCTCACAACAAAGTACTGTTCCCATTGTACAGATGAAGAAACTGAGGCTCACAGAGATCATCACCATGTGTTAGGATTGGAAGCAGCCTCAGGAAGATCTTGTGACCCCACTAGCCCAAGCTGGCCCACGTCTCAGGAGGGAGGGGCTGGACGATGGTGGTTACTTACACTGGTCTTTCCTTTGTGACTTCCTCCCAGACCATCTGTCCCTGGTCCCAAGAGGACCTGTCTTCCTGGATGGCGGAGTGGACTATCTATACACTAGTCCCATGGCCCTGACCTGCTGACCTCTCCCTCTTGGCTGATTTCTTCATGTTAGTTCAACATTAACCCAGAGTGGTCAGGACAAGTCCTCAGAGTCCCAGGAGCTGACACACTATGGCGCACATCCGAGGCCTCTGGGTACCTGGCTGCCTGGCCCTAGCTGTCCTGTGTAGCCTTGTGCACAGCCAGCATGGTAAGAGGGGCTTGGAGGCTGGGACAGGCTGACAGGCTGGGATGTGGGCCCACGGGCCGGGGCCTCCTGGCTTGACCGAGAACAACAGGGCCGACGCCCAGGTGGGTCTCAGCCTACAGCATACAGCGTAGGGAAGGAGTCGGGCGCTAAGGTCTGGATGTACTGCGTCTCTCCTGCCATATGGAGAGCGGGCTATCCAGTGCATAGAGAGGAGCCAGTGGGCTACCGTCGGCAGCCTTCTGGGTCCTGCCACCGTCCCAGACGTCCCCTTTCAGAAGCCGGGAGGGCAGGCAAGGCTTGCTTCCGGCCCCCACGGTGGCCAAGACCGCCTGGCTCACTGAGGCCACTGTCCCACGCCCCTCCTACCGCAGTGTTCCTGGCCCCTCAGCAAGCACTCTCGATGCTCCGGCGGGCCCGCCGCGCCAACAGCGGCTTTCTGGAGGAGTTGCGCAAGGGGAACCTGGAGCGAGAGTGCGTGGAGGAGCAGTGCAGCTACGAGGAGGCCTTTGAGGCCCTGGAGTCTTCCACTGCCACGGTGAGGGCTGGGCTATGCACCAGGTCGGGGTTGGGGAGGGGTGGGCCAGGTCCCTCCAGGTGGGCCCAGCAAGGGATGTCCCAGCTCTTCAGCCTCATTTCACTGGGCTGCCAAGATGAGTGACCTCAGCCCTTCTTGGAGGCCCAGACACCTGGGCAATGTCCAAGGTCTGGCAGCCTAGTGAGGCTCCAGGTCATCGGGGGCTCCTCCATCTTCTGATGTCTGTCTGCACTGGGGTCTCTGGAGGCCCCGGCCCTCATGGCTTCAGCCCTGCTGCTACTGTGGGGTGTGGGACTCTGGCGAGGCCTGAGGGTTCCAAGAGCTCTGTGCAGCCTTTCCCTTCCTCAGGGCTTTCCCTGGGCCCCATGTCCTCCGTTCTTCAATCTAGCCCACCTATGGGAACCCTTTTGGTCTTGGTTGGCAGGGGGCTCCCCTCTCCTCAAATACTCCTCTCCTCAGTGGGCTTGGGCTTCTGGAAACAAAAGTAAGAACCTACCACAAACCTCCCCAGAGCCTGCCACCTGCATGACCAGGGTAAGGGAAAGAGGAAAGCATGAGGGGAAAATATAAAGTCTACTGAAAAACAAAATGAAATGAAACAGGATATGCCACACCCTCACGCTGGCTCTTATTTTTCAGGATGTATTCTGGACCAAGTACATAGGTGAGCACTGGGAAGGGTTTGCTCCTGGAACGGAGTCCTGGGGACCCCAATGAGAGAATGTTCTACTCTGGAGAATCTTCTGGTCCATCCATCCATCCATCCCTCCACTCATGCCTCTTTTCCTCCTTTCTCCCTTCCTCCCTCCCTTCCTTCCTTCCTCCCTCCCTCCCTCCCTCCCTCCCTCCCTCCCTCCCTCCCTCCCTTCCTTCCTTCCTTCCTTCCTTCCTTCCTTCCTTCGATCTCTCTGTCCATCTCTTTGTCTCTGCACTTTGTCCCCCCCACCCTCTACTTGAGCCCTTCCTGTCCCTATCCCAATCCCAAAAGTGTTTCTGGGTCTTTTCCAGCTTGTGAGTCGGTGAGGAAACCTCGAGAAAAGCTCATTGAATGTCTGGAAGGTGAGGAGCCGATGTGGGGGTGGGGGGCAGGGTGTGAGCAGACAGCCTGGGAGAAGAGCAGAGTGGGGTGGGTTAGGAGTTGTGGCCCAGCATCTGACCTTGCCGTTCTGTTCCTGCGGTCAAGGATGCCTTTGCACCTGACTCTGTGTCCGGCAGTGAGGAAGAGGATTCATGTTGGAGGAACAAATGCATGAATGGATGAGGAATTCATATTTAAGGCCTCATTTTCATGCGAGCCCCCACCAGTCAGTCTTCCCCATGTTCCCAGGGCAGAGCCCTGATGAGGTCACATTCATTCTTCAGAACCTTGGGTGGCTCCCCAGTGCCTCCAGAATAAAGCACAGGCTTCTTAGCCTGGCAAACTTGGCAGGTTCTGGCCTTAACCTTCCCTTCTGGCCTTATCTCCCATTGCACCAAAACATGGACCCAGACCCCCAGCTACTCTGACAGCAAGCACTTCCCTGAACATGACAACATGTGTCTGCCTCCTGGCCTTTGCTTTCATTGTCATCTTCCCCGGGAACAACTATACCATTTCCTGCAAACTTCCCTGTCCTACAAGGACTAGTTCAAATGCCATCACCTTGCGGAGCCTGCAATGAGCCTCCACCCTCCTCCCCAGTCTTCTGAATACACCTTTAAGATAACAATAGACCACAGCTCTTAACGGTAACTCTTTAACCACTTTTTAACATACTTCTGTTTGGTTTTTTTTTCCATACTTTTATTGTTAAATAACTTATTCAACAGGAATTTTACTAAACCCCTGCTATGTACCAGGCACTGTGTCATGTGCTGGGGATTCTAAGAGAATGAAGGAGCTCCCAATCTCATAGGGAAACAAAAATACAAAGTATCAGTGTAATCGCTGGAAAAGCTCTGTTCTAGGTGCCAAGACAGTGCCAGGAGAAGGAGCATTTAGTTTGCTGGCAGGATCAGGGACAACCCCCCAGAAGAAGCAGAGTTCCACCTGGATTTGTGGGATGCACTGATGGGCACACCCAGGCAGAGGAAACAGCTTGTGCAAAGGCCCTGACACGAGGATCTCTGATAACAGGACGGGTAGACTAGGGCCAGATTAGAAGGACCATGTTCGCTTTGTCATCCTACTGGCCACGAGGAGCCACCGACTATAAGCTCCATGAGGGCAGGGACCTACCTTGACTATGTCTTATTCTTCGCTATGTCCTTAGTGCCTGGCACAGTGTCTGACACACGGTTGTCACATGGGTGGTGGGCACTCATGTGACACACTTGGTGAGTGCTGTGAGACAGATTGGTGAACTGCTGGGTACAGAGGAGGTAGCTGAGGAAATGTGGGTTAAGGGTCATGGAGCAGAGGTAGCTTGGAGGAGGTGGACAGACAGGGCTTTGCTAAGTGAGAGAGAGGGGACAGGGCCTCAGGGTAAGAGACCGGGGCTGGGGTCTCTGCAGGTAGCTGCGCTGAAGGTCTGGGCATGAACTACCGCGGGAACGTGAACTTCACCCGGTCAGGCATCGAGTGCCAGCTCTGGAGGAGTCGCTACCCACACAAGCCTGAGTGAGTGACGGGCTGTGGGCCAGTGGGCTGAGAATATGGGGCTGGCAGACACTGGACGGGGGGTACGGCCTCTGCTGAGCAATTTCCTATTCCAGAATCAACTCTACCACCCACCCTGGGGCTGACCTGCAGGAGAATTTCTGCCGTAACCCGGACGGCAGCACCACTGGGCCCTGGTGCTATACTACAGACCCCACCGTGCGGAGGGAGGAGTGCAGCATCCCTGTCTGCGGTGAGCGGGGGAGGGCTGGGCAGCCCATGGCCAAGGCGCAGGGCTCTCCATAGAGCCTGATCCTGGCTACCTTCAAGCATGGGTTAGTCATTCACAACATATTTGGGCCCGTGGGTCAGTGAAGGCAGGAGACCAGAGATAGCTGGAAGAACCCTGCCTTCCCAGGCTTTGCTTCCTTGTGACCCAGGCTGTGGCTCCCTCCAAATATGCTTTCCTTCCTGCTCGAGGCCCTCTTCCCTCCAGGAAGCCCTCCCCAACTATTTCAGTCCACGTGGCCCTTTCTGAGCGCCACAGAGCAAACCTCATATGGCCCCGCCTGGCGTGATGCTGTCATTATTCTTTCGCGTGGTGTGTCAGTGAGCTCTAGCCACAATAATGCTGCAAACCCCACAAAGTCACAAACAGCCACAAAAGCTCAGGGGATTCACCAATAAGCATTTCTTTCTTATGTCTGAGGGTTGGCTTGGGCGGCTGAGCTGCTGTTAGCTGCGCTTGCCTGTGTCTGCGGTGGCCACTGCTGTAGGCGGGGCTTGGCTGCCGGTTCCGCTTCTGGCGTCGGCTCCAGCTCCAGCTGAGCTTGGCTCCCTGTGTCGTTGGGTCCTGGTCTGCTCCACATTACTCATCCTGGGGCTGAGGCTGAAAGGCACCATCTCCCTTTGGCAGAACCAAAAAACCTATTCAGACACACACAATGTATCTCAAGGCCTGGGCTCGGAACTGGTGCGTCCGTTCTGCCCACGTTCCACTGGCCAGGGCGAGCCACATGCTCACGGCCAAAGCCAGCAGGTGGAGAAGTACACCTTTGCCTATACAACCACGGGGCAGAGGAGGTGGATCGAGGCGGGGGTACTAAAGAATTAGTACCAGCAATCAATCTACCAAATATGGGTTGGTGTTCTTTGTCCGCCGCATCCCTGTTGGACCCAATACTTGGTCCTGCGACTGGTCTTATAGCAAGGGACCAGTCATGATAACAAAAGCAGCTACCATATACCAAGCCTGCCCACCCCCAACACTGGGCAGGCCTGCTGAAATTGACTTTCTGCGCATGTAGTCATCCCAGCTACTTCTCCTGCTGTGCCCCTATAAGAACAGACTCCTTCTGTAAAAACTCCAGGCAGTCACTACCAGTAGATTACAGATAGCCCCGGAGGTGAAACCGAGTTGCTATCTCTGCCTCATGATGCACCAGACACAGCATGTATTTTGTTTAAATCTCTCAACCCTGCAAGAATGGTATCAGTCACCCCTTTTATAGGCAAGCAAAGTGAGGTTCAGAGAGGTCAAGTTACCTGAGGTCACATAGGAAGAAGGTGGCAAGGCAGGGAGTCAAACCCTGACCCCCTGGCCGCCGGTGGTCCCACCCCACCCACTCTGCTCCCCTGCCTCCCCACCCACCAGGCCGGGAGGGCGTCACTGTGCAGCTGACCCCACGCTCCAGAGGCTCCACGGTGAATCTGTCACCTCCATCGGAGCAATGCCTCCCTGAGCGTGGCCGGTACTACCAGGGTCGCCAGGCGGTGACCGCACTTGGGTCCCCCTGCCTGGGCTGGGCCAGCAGTCAGGCCAAGGCCCTGAGCAAGGACCAGGACTTCAACCCTGCCGTGCCGCTGGTGGAGAACTTCTGCCGCAACCCGGACGGGGACGAGGAGGGCGCGTGGTGTTACGTGTCGGAGGAGCCCGGTGGCTTCGAGTACTGCGACCTGGACTACTGCGGTGAGGCGGGGCGGGGGCCTGAGGCTGGGGGCGGGGCCCGGGGCGGGGCCGAGCAGCACCTCCCCGGGGGCGGGGCTGCCCCGCCGCTGGGGGGCGCGGTCCGCTGCAGCCGGGTCTCCCCGCGGCCGGGCGGGCCTGGCCCCACGCGCAGCTCACCCGGCTCAGGCCCGACGCCGAGTTTCCGAGGTCGCCTGCGCTGCGCTCTCACGCAGGGGCCTCCAGGGCCGCCCGGGGTGCTTGGGGGGCGGGGGGGGCGCTGCGCGCAGGCTGGCTCGGCCCGGCCCCAGCCGTGCCTGCTCCCTGCAGAGGAGCCGGTGGAGGAGGTGGGCGACGGACTGGTCGAGGACCCGGACGCGCCCATCGAGGGACGCACCGGCGACGAGAAGTTCCAACCCTTCTTCAACGAGAAGACCTTTGGCGCCGGGGAGGCAGGTCAGGCGGCAGGGGCGGCGGGGGCGGCGCGGGGCGCGGGGTACAGCTCGGCCCCTCACACCCGGCTTGCTGTGCAGACTGTGGGCTGCGGCCTCTGTTCGAGAAGAGGTTGGTGAAGGACAAAACGGAACACGAGCTTCTGGATTCCTACATCGACGGGCGCATCGTGGAGGGTTCGGACGCGGAAATTGGCCTCGCGCCCTGGTGCGTCGTGGGGGTGGCCCCCCGGGGTCTCCTTCTGGGGCCGCCCTTCCCTCACAGGCCTGGGCTTCCCAGATGGTGATAGCGGCACCTCTCTGAGATTAGGGGTGTTGCTTCTCACATGCAGAAGGCGAAGCTGAGGCCCAGAGAGCTTAAGGGGTCTGACCCAGGAGCTATGCCAGGCTGTGCAAATTCTGGACCTGCAAAAGCTGGGGAGGGGTGCAGAAAGCAGGAGGCAGCCCCTCGGTGTCATGTGGAGGCCCCCGTCGGCCAGGGCAGCCAGGTCAAGCTGGGGTCTGGGCCCAGCAGGCACCTCTGTCCTATGCTTAAACCTGGGACTTTCTACTTTAGGGGAGGTGGAGGGGCAGCCAGCCCCCCAGCTCCTCACGCTTCCCACTCCCTCTCCCAGGCAGGTGATGCTATTCCGGAAGAGTCCCCAGGAGCTGCTCTGTGGGGCCAGCCTCATCAGTGACCGCTGGGTCCTCACGGCTGCCCACTGTCTTCTGTACCCACCTTGGGACAAGAACTTCACCGAGAATGACCTTCTGGTGCGCATTGGCAAGCACTCCCGCACCAGGTACGGACCAGGGGATGTCTGGCAGGGGTCAGAGTCCTCCAGAGTGACTGGGAGGGCTCTGGTGGCTCTGGGGGGATATGTCTGTACATGTCCCACAGTAGAAAACCCAGCAGTCTCTGCTGGAAAGGCCATTTGGCCATGTCTGGACTGAGGCTTGGGAGCCGGGGAAAGAGAAACTGAGACTTTGCAGGGGGTGAAATCCTGGCCCACCCCTAGCTCCTCTGCAAGCACCAGCAAGCCGCCCAGGTGTGAGCTCTGAAGGGAGGCTGTTTGGACCAGGGCTCCAGCCTGCACTCCTCCCCCACCTGCCGGGGCTCTCTGACTCGGAAGCCCAGAACAGCTTTAAGCCTGCAGACGCTGTCAGGGCAGGAGGCAGCTCTCTCCCCTCAAGGGTGGCCCAAGGGTCACCCCAATTCCTGGACCCTGAGGGCAGGCAGGAACTGGCTGCCCTTCACCAGATGGCTTACAGCTTCCCCCGTCTCCCTGTTTGCACAGGTATGAGCGAAGCATTGAGAAGATCTCCATGCTGGAAAAGATCTACATCCACCCCAGGTACAACTGGAGGGAGAACTTGGACCGTGACATAGCCTTGCTGAGGCTCAAGAAGCCCATCACCTTCAGCAACTACATCCACCCTGTGTGCCTGCCTGACAAGGAAACCGCAATCAGGTGGGTGCTGGTGGGGGAGGGGTGCGAGGAGGGGGCGAGTGGTGGCCCTGGGCTGGGTTCTGGGTTCTGGGCCCAATAGACACTCTCCTTTCCAGGCCTGGGTGGGGTGGGGTGGGGAGGCTTGGAGAAAACCCAGAAATTCTTTCTGAGCCAGTGTTTGAGATTCTGGTCTCCAAGGGACAGTGTTGGGGCCAGGTGTTGGTGGGACTTCTGGAGGTGTTGGTGCTCACGAAGTCCTTCTTCCTTCACCCCCAAAGACTGCTCCGCGCTGGATACAAAGGGCGGGTGACTGGCTGGGGCAACTTGAAGGAGATGTGGATGCCCAACGTTGCCGAGGTGCAGCCCAGTGTCCTGCAGGTGGTGAACCTGCCCATTGTGGAGCGGCCGGTGTGCAAGGCCTCCACTCGGATCCGCATCACCGACAACATGTTTTGTGCTGGCAAGTGCCCAGGGCATGTCTGGGCCCCGGCTGGGGTGGTGGGAGGGCAGGAGGATTGAGACATGTGAAGGGTGCAGACCCATTCAAGTCCTGAATCTGGTCACTTATAAGCCAAATGGCTTTGGGCAAAGTTGCATAACCTCATGGACGCTCAGTTTCTTCCTCTCTAAAATGGAGATGCAAGTCTCTGTCCCATGAGGTTGGGTGAGGGCTAAATGAGATAGTATGTATATAGTAAGGTGCTAGGCATGGTGGTAGTCACTGGTTACGTTGTCGATCCGTGTGAGTCCAGATAGCAGCATGAGGCCATGGGTGGGGGAAAAGCCTTGTTCCTTCCTTTAGTCATTCAGCAAATATTTATTGAATGCCTTTTGTGATCAGTATTTACCACAAGGACCCAATGCCTGTGTCCTCACAGAACTTCCTTCCTAGGAGGGAGTGTCCATAAACAGATGTAGAATCTAGCAGAAAAAAAAATGAAGCAAAGTAAGGGGGAGAGAGAGAGATGGGGACAAGGCAGTCTAAAAAGAGTGGTTGGACAAGGTTAGAGAAGGTCTCTCTGAGAAGAGACTAGGAGTGAAGAAGTGAGCTAGTCTAGGACAAGTGCACTCCAGGGTGAGGGAGAGCAGATGTAAAGGCCCTGGGGTGGGTGCCTGCTTAGGGTGTCTGAGGAACAGGAGTGTGGCTGGAGTGCAGTAAACACAGGCAGGGCAACAGATGAGGGGAGGGAGGTGGGCTAGGCAGAGGATAGGCAGTTCTTTTAGGGTCTTGAGGGACTTTGGTTTTTATTGAGACGGAATTTTGGAGGGTTTGGGGGGGGTGAATAGATGGTCTAAATTAAAAATTTTTAGTATGGGGCTCCTGGCTGGCTCAGTTGGTGGAACATGGGACTCTTGATCTTGGGGTCGTGAGTTCAAGTCCCATGTTGGGCGTAGAGCTTACTTAAAATTTTTTCTTAGTATAATTTCAGACTCACAGAAAAGTTGCAAAAATAATATAAAGAATTCCTGTATATTGTCATCCAGATTCTGTCCCTGCACTTTGTGTTTATTGACATACACACATAATACACACACGCTGTTTGAGAGTGAATTGTACATATGCCTTGTTACCCACGTACGTGAGTCTATCCAGACAAGAATGTTCTTACATAGCAAGTGAGCAGTTGTTAAAATCAAGAAGTTAATGATACTATACTGTTATCTAATCTATAGACCTATTCCAGTGTTTTCCAGTTGTCCTACTTATTAATATCTTCTGTAGCAAAGGGGAAAAAAGTGTTCTCATCTGGATCCAGTCCAGGATCACACATTGCCTGTAGTCGTCAGTCCTCCTTCTTTGTCTTCCATGACTTTGACAGGTTTCGTAAGTGCAGCCCAGTGAGCCTGTCGCTTGGCCCTCAGTTTGATTTGTCTAAGGTTTTGGTTTCCTTGTGATCACATTCAGGCCAAGTGAGGTTGTGTCCTTCTAAGAGAAGGCCCATGATGTCCATTTGTCCATATGTCTCACCATAACTGGGGAGATTAACTCTGACCTCTTGGTTAAGGTGGTGTCTGCATCTGGTGGGTTTCTTGCTGTGAGGTTTTGTTTGTAAGTATCTTGTGGGGAGCAGCTTTGACCCTCTGCATCCTGTTTCCCATCAAACCGTTCTCCCAGCTCCGGGAGCTGCCAAATGGTGATTTTCTAATTCTGTCATTCCTTCTATGTTTATTGTGGTTTCATTGGAAGGAAGACCTCTCCTTTCTTTCATTCTATCAGTGTGGACTCACGGGTCTTTATTCTAAGAGTTATAATCTGCTACTATCATCATTTATTTTGATTTTCAAATTATCCAGGTTTGGCCAGTGGGAGTACCCTCAGCCTGGCTTCTGTGACTTTTGATGTCCCTGTCATTCCCTGAGTACCTTCTTACACTGGGACAGCAAGATGGTCTCCACTTCCCTGCTAGTGGAGAATGGCGTTTAGAAGCCACGATCTGGGTGCTATGCGTGCACGTTGCTACTGGGGTGTTACTGCTTCTGCGTCCTCTCAGCAGACAGATCTAGAAAATACGTGTACGATGCATACGGTGACATCTAGATCGATTTTTCTTTCTGTCATTTATCAGTTTCTCTGTCTGAAACCTCCCACTGCAATCCAGCAGGATTAATTTTAGCTTCTCCTTTTCCATATTTGTAACTCTATTGACAATGAGAAACTGGACTCCTGTTATTCATCATATAGTAACTTATTGGATCGTTACTAGAATACATTGTTTCAGAATCACCCATCCATCTCACTGTGAGAAACAATCCTCCTCACTGGTGTTTAGCATTTCTTCACAGAGTTTCTGTCTTTAGCACATCTGTACCTAGTTGAAATACTGTGTTCAAAAGGAACTTGGGTTAGTTCTCCCCGCCCCCCTTTGCTGTGTTATTTATTTAAAATAGAGTTAGGCTAAGTTGTTTCTGATTGTATTCAATTTGGGGTCCCCCCTCCCATCTTCGTTGTTTTTATTTATTTTTGGAGTATTAACATGGGTCTAAAACTCAGACCCTTTAAAACAGGTATACTTGGAGAAGTGACACTCTCTTTTCCTTTCTATCCTTTTGCTACCCCCCATCCTTTCTACTCCATTTCCATCTGGGCTCTACAGTCAACCAGTCTCAGTAGTTTGTGGGTTTTTTCTTCCTGTATTTCCTTTTGCACAAATGAGCTGACTCCATTTCCATCTACGCTCTATATGGTCAACCAGTCTCAGTAGTTTGTGGGTTTTTTTTTTTTCTTCCTGTATTTCCTTTTGCACAAATGAGCTTACACACACATATATTTTATCCCCCCCCCTTTTTAAAGATTTTATTTACTTATTTGACAGAGAGAGACACAGCAAGAGAAGGGAACACAAGCAGGGGGAGTGGGAGAGGGAGAAGCAGGCCTCCCGGTGGGCAGGGAGCCTGATGCGGGGCTCGATCCCAGGACCCCGGGATCATGACCTGAGCCGAAGGCAGATGCTTAACGACTGAGCCACCCAGGTGCCCCTTATTTATCTATTTTTAAAGATTTTATTTTTAAGTAATCTCTACATCTAGCGTGGGGCTCGAACTCACAATCCCAAGATCTAGTCGCATGCTCCACCGACTGAGCCAGCCAGGTGTCACCCAGTTTAGGTCATTTATATCCTTATTTTTTTTTTCAGTTCACTTGATCTGTCTTTGTACAGAGTTTGTGTTAAATTCTGCTAATGTATTTCTGTCTCCTTGAATTGCTTTATAAATGTGGTTGCTGTGCTGTTTAGTGCAGATATTCATAACTTTTGTTTTTTCAAAATGCTTTTTTTTTTTAAAGATTTTATTTATTTATTTGAGAGAGAGAGAATGAGAGAGAGCATGAGAGGGAAGAGGGTCAGAGGGAGAAGCAGACTCCCCGCTGAGCAGGGAGCCTGATCCCGGGACTCCAGGATCATGACCTGAGCCGAAGGCAGTCGCTTAACCAACTGAGCCACGCAGGCGCCCGATATTCATAACTGTTATTTATTCATTGTGAATTGTGGCTTTTAACATTAAAAGTATACTTCTTCAAATTATTTTCAATTTCAGGATCACCATCTCTGTTCTGTTTTTTGTTTTCATTTCTTTTTTTTTTTTTTTAAGATTTTTTTTTTTTATTTATTTGACAGAGAGAGAGATAGCGAGAGCAGGAACACAAGCAAGGGGAGGGGGAGAGGAAGAAGCAGGCTTCCCGCCGAATAGGGAGCCCAATGTGGGACTCAATCCCAGGACCCTGGGATCATGACCTGAGCCGAAGGCAGAGGCTTAACGACTGAGCCACCCAGGCGCCCTCTTTTTTTTTTTTAAGATTTTATTTATTTGACAGAGAGAGACACAGTGAGAGAGGGAACACAAGCAGGGGGAGTGGGAGAGGGAGAAGCAGGCTTCCCGCGGAACAGGGAGCCGATGCGGGGCTCGATCCCAAGACCCTGGGATCATGACCTGAGTCGAAGGCAGACGCCCAACGACTGAGCCACCTAGGAGCCCCCGTTTTTTGTTCTCATTAACCTGATATACCTTTGTCCATCCCATTACTTTTAGCCTCTATGAATCACTTTGTCTCTTATATCTAGCATAGTTGGGTCTTGCTTTTTGTGAGGCAAACTAAAAATCTTTTTCTTTTTTAATAGGTGAGTTAAGCCCATTCATATTTATTGATATGATTGAATTAATATTCATATTACTTTGTAATTATTACATGTATTATGTTTCATTTGCTCTTTTTTCCCTATGCGATCTTTTGTGTTTTTAAATTTATATGTTTAGGAAGGTTTGCATTTTTGGTCTAATGATTATCTTTGGGCTTCTACCTTTCTGAAATGCACTTAGTTCCTTTTATATTTATGACCTTTTAATTGTTAACTCCGACCTATTGTCTATACAGCAGTCAGGGAGTTTACTTTCCTCTTTCAAGATCTTCTTTGATATTTTTAGATGCATTTTTTTCTACTTGTCAGAACAGTTAATCAGTCCTTTGGCTGAAGCTTTCATCTCTTGGTTGGATGAAGCTTGCCGTTTAGTAGATGCTTCAACAACTGTTATGGGTGTAGAATTTCCTGTTTTTATGTGTTTACAATTGTTTTTCTGTTGTCTTGACACCTTAAGCTCTGCTTGACTGCATATAAAATCCATGGCTTACATTTCCTTCAATTAAAAAAAAATATGGCTTTGTTGTTACTTACTTTGTTGTTTTTGAAAAATCAGATGCTGGTGTAATTCTTTGGAACTTGTAAGGTATTTGGTCTCTTGTGCTTGGAAGTCTTGAGGGCTTTTTCCTTCATCTTTGAAGTTTTATTGGGCTCTGTCTCAGAGTGGAGTGTTTCAGGTCAGTTTTGTCAGCTACCTCATGTGGCTCCTTTCAACATACCTTCAATCTTATTTTATTTCTGTTAAGTTTTCTTGGATTATGTCATAAATATTAGTTTTGTTCCATGGTTTTATTTTTCTTTTTGAGAGGTTCAGATTTCTTCTTTGGTCTGAATTCCATTTCAATCCCTTTCTGCTTTGCATTTCCTCCTATTGTTTTGTCCATTTATTTTTAATTTTTGGATTTCTGATTCAAGGCGTTTTGTTACATTGTACAAATCGGCTTGAGGAAATTTAATTCAGTTATAGTTTTCTTCTGTTTCATGGTTGTGTTTTGGGGGAGAATTTCTGTTAGCTGTTTCTTAGTCTTGTTTTTTTGTTTTCCTATAGTATCTTGGTATGGATCTATTTAGTTTCATTCATTTTGTAGATTTGGGGTCATTTACAAGGTTCCAATTCAACTGTACCCACTTCTTTTTTCTAGTAGATATGTACGGTCTCATCGCCACATAAGTGTTAATATTAGATGCACAATTAAATATGTTGATTTCAAGTTTGGGTGGTCTCTGTATTCCAGTGCTGATGGTGACTGTGTGTGTGTAGTTTTTGTTGTTCTTCATGTTCCTTATTGTTTATGGAGGGCATGTGGGCAGATTCTGGGTAAAGGCAACTGCCATTATCCTCAGGCCACCTGTGGGTCTAACGTATTTTTAAGTCCTTCTGCCTATTGGGTAGTGAATGGATTGTAGGTGGGGGGAAGTAGAATTCGGGGACAGTAGTTCAGGGGAGAGCTACATGTAATGTGATGAGGGGTGGAAGCGGGGACAAGTGGCTAGGCTGGGATGCATGTTGAAGATGGAGCCGAGAGGCCATGCTGAAGGATTGCATGGCGGGGGGGTAAGAAAATGGGGAGTGAAGGAGGACCCCAAAGGGTCAAGTGGACACTCGCCACCTAGGTCTCTTCAAGGGGAGTGGTGGGAGCGTGAGCTGTGCGTCTAAGCACTGCTGTTCTCTCCGCAGGCTTCAAGCCCAGTGAAGGGAAACGAGGGGATGCCTGTGAAGGCGACAGTGGGGGGCCCTTTGTCATGAAGGTGAGCGTGGGGCTAAAGGCTAGGAGGGTGGGTAGGCCTTCCGGGGGCTGGGGGGGAGTTAGGAGGGACTGTTTTCAGAAATAGTTGCCTGACAGGGTGCTGCTGCCATGCCTTGGACTCACCCTCTTGGAAACCCCATGTTTCTTCCTCAGAGCCCCTTTAACAACCGCTGGTATCAAATGGGCATCGTGTCATGGGGTGAAGGCTGTGACAGGGATGGAAAATATGGCTTCTACACACACGTGTTCCGCCTGAAGAAGTGGATACAGAAGGTCATTGATCAGTCTGGAAGTTAGCGGGCTGCTCACATTCTAGGCTCCTCACTGCAAAATCACAGAAACCAATCCAGCAGAATTATTTTTGTGGTTTGTTCCTAAAACTATATAGTTCTCAATAAAAGTGCCGGTCAACAAGCCTCCATGCTCCCGGTGTGTTCGTGGGCAGCTCAGAGCCAGTGCGACTGGAGGAACAGGACTTAGCGAGCCCACCACTCCTAGAACGGGGGGCAGGTGACGGGGAGGTGGCGGCCTGAGGGGCTGAGCACTGAAAATGCTCCACACTCGGGGGGGCTTCATGGGTTCCCTCGTGTAATGCTCCTGAGAGGTAGGTCAGGAGATGGACTAGAAGTATCTTGTCCAAGGTCACACAGCTGAGAAGGGTTAAGGTTGGACTTGAAACAGAAGATACTGAGGCCTGGGCTTTCAGTCGCTCTGCTGTTGGGGCACTAAGGTGCTCGTCCCGGGACCAGAGATGAGGCAGAGGGAACAGACCAGAGCAAGGAGGGGTAAGTAGGTACATCTTTACCTCTGACTTTCCTAGTTAAGTCCCTATATCCTTCCACATACCATTAAAGTGACATCAGATTTAATGCCCCCCAAAGGCTCAGTATTTTAAGTGCCTTCATCTGGGAGTATTGTGGGATAGGGTGGTTAGGAGCATGGGCCCCAGCGTCAGACTGCCTGGCTTCCTAGTCTGGCGACACCCTTACAAGGGAGAACCACGACTGACCTCCACGAGCCGGTTTGCTTACGTAGAAGGTATGAGGCCATTCCTTACCTAATCCGGCCGTGAGGAGGAGATGAGGTCATGTGCAGCGTGTACTTAGCAGGAAGCCCAGGAGCCGGTACGCGGTCCCCGAGTCACCGCCGCTTTCATTCCCCTGCTGCCTGGCGCGAGGTCCCTCTGCCACTCCTCTCCGGCCCCTACCAGGAGCACGTGGGTGCGGTGCCTGCTTCCCGGACTTTCTAGTCCCATACGAGTTACAGGCTCCAGCAACTGGCTTCTCTAAGAAATGGGACCTAGAGCTGCCCTGTGGCCGCCCGTTGACTTCAAGGTCGCTGCTGGCAGAGGTCAGCGGTCCAGGCTGGAGTGCTCTGACACATTCCCTTCCGCGGGGCGCCACCATCTTCCCAGCTGCCCCTGCCTCTGGGGCATTTGTGACTCGGGAGCTGGGCACCGCAGCCCGCGACCGGCGCCATGCTGACCCCAACTGGCGCGGCCTGCGGATCGCTGGATGATTCTCGGCAGGACCGTGGCCAAGTCTCATGCCTGAGTCCGGGGGTGAGGCAGGGAAAGAGCATGGCCGCCACCCCGCTTACCACGCTTGGCCGCGAATCTTCGACGAAGATCTTTAAACTTCATGGTGTGAAGTGGGAAGGGACCGAAGGTAGGCACTTTTACCCACTTCCCTCCCCATTTTTCAATACATCAAGGGACAGAGAACTGGGACTGAGTTCTTGGCCCTTGTTGTTTGGTTCTGGTTGACCGGGAAGCAGGGTAAAAACTGGGAGTTCCGTGAGTTTGCAGGACCTTGGCAGCCCAGAGCTCTCACCAGAGCGGGGAAGGGATTAAGAGTTAGAATATCCCAATTGTGCTTTTGAAACCAGGGTTCACATTCTCAAGACTGCTTCCCTCCAACAGAGCTTTAAGACCCGAGCAGAGCCACTCTTTTTTCCAAATGCTTCATCCCAGCCCAGCAGCGACCGAACTCTCCGTCTGCCTTCCAGGGAATGCCCACTCCCCTGGCCCCGCTGCAGGGGCGAGAGGGAAGTGTGATTTCAGGCAGCGCAGGGCCCACCTGAAAAGCTCAACTAGACTCAACAGAGGATTCACTTTCTGTCAACCTTTCATTTCTTGAGCGCCGGCTGGGTAAAAGATCGTCTAGAAGAATTCCTTGACCCTCCTGGCTGCCCAGAAAGTCACCCATCTGAATCCAGAGCCTCTCGGTACTAACGGGTTTTTCTAACCGTGGAGGGAGACCCTGGCGAATTTATTCTGGAGGCGACTCCTCTGTTCACTTTCCAGTCCTCACTTAGCCTGAACGGGAAGCAGCTATGGGTCTAGACTCAGAGGGGAACCGAAAAGCAGGCGGGAAGCTCCTTCGGTCAGAGGCCCCCGAGTCCAGTCCCCGTGCGGAGAGCACTGCAGCCCGGCCCGTCCTGGGCCCCAGCTCACTGCAACGTGGCAGGAAGCCCGAGGGCTCCCTGGCACCGCAGTGCTGATGGGAGGGAAGTCGTGACCAGGACCTCACGATGGGGAAGACAGGGACTGCTCTGTTCCCACCCCCCCCAGGAGCTGCTCCTGTTCCAGGGGAGCAGAAGCACAAGTCTGTGCGCCCCAACAAGGCCGTGCTCCTCAGGCGGTACCTTTTCCGCTTCCGCTGGCTGGGTGGCTAGCCGGTCCCAAGGACACGTGACAGAGCTGCCCAGGTATGGAGCATCTTGGGAGACCGTTCTAGTTAATGCAAACTTTATTTATAAAAGACTCTTAAATTAGTTGTATCATGCCATGCATTCATACAGAATACAGTGACCCTTCAGGGCTACGGGGAGAGGAGCTCACAAACTCAAAGGAGAACTATTAAAGAGTTTCTAATAGTGAAAAGCTAGGAAAGATCGGGACGACTTTACAAATGAGCAGTTAAAAATAAAAGACAAAGGCTGTGGAGACTAGTCGGAGCCGAGAGGAGGGCAGCTGTTGACAAGTCTGTGCACTAAACTACGACGCGGACAGTCGGCTAGAGGCAGGGCGCCGGCGGAGAAGCAGTACGGACAGAGGCCCGCGCCCCGCCGGTCCGAGCACCGGGCCCGCCGAGCCCCTGCCGCGAGGGGGATGCCGAGTTTAGTGACCTAGAGCTGCGGGGCGCGGGCCAGGGGCGGCTTCACTTGCGACTGCTCTTTATCCTCTCCAGTCTCTTTTTCAAGTCGTCAATGTTCGCTGTGGAGGACGAGGACGTGGTCACGGTTCCGGCAGAGTGAGTGTGGTTAGAATCCAGGTCCGAGTGCTGGTGCTGCTCCCGGGACTCCCGGAGCTGAGAGAGTTTGCTGTGCAGCATGTCGGTGGAAGAGGCGACCGGGGGGGCTGCTGGCTTGGAGAGCAGGGAGGTCAGCGGGGGCCGCTCGTCTTGCTGCGGACAGAAGGAGACACAGCGGCAGAGCAGGTCAGGCCGCAGCTCGGGGAGAGCGGGCCGGCCTGGCCCTGCCCCACACGGGAGGGAAGGAGCGCTACCTTTGTGTTGTCCAGACCACACCGCTGGCGGAGGATCTTGAGCCTTTCCAGGTAGACAGACGGCCCCACTTCTTCTCCGTTGGTGTTCCCTATGGAGGACACCGTGCTTGGGGGGGCGGGCATACACGTGACCTCCATCTGTGGGGAGACGCCTGGAGAGGAGATGGGGAGAGGACACTCCAATGCACACACGTCCCACTTCCAGACCACCCGGGCTCATCTGTCGCCACAGGGAATGATTTGGGGCTTGGATATCACCACTGTAAAGACTAAAAAATCCACCAGAGTCCCATCTGGAGTTGGTGATAAAGGGTGCTATGAATTATACACGATAAGCTGAGCAAGAACTTCAAGAAACAATAGAGCAGAGCGTAAGCTGGGCTGCCCACCCACATCCTGGGATCTGCAGGGGGTGGCAGCCTGTCACCCGGCCGCTGGCCTGGGCCATCCAAAAGCCTAGACTGCTCCCGAGGCTACGGTGTCCAGCTGAAGTAAAACGCCTGGACTTGAAATGCTGGCAACAATTAGACTAGGTCTGGACCAGGTGATACATGGGGAAGTGCTTATTCACACCGGGAAGAGAGCAAGGAGCTCAGGCGACAGTGTATGCATGGGGAAGAGGCAGAAACGCAGGTGTCCAATAAACACCCCCAGAAGAGGGACAGGAACGGCGCATCTGTCACCCCCAGCATAGAGAACAATATTCTGGCGGGAGAGGGAAAAACCAGAAAAATCTATCACAGGTCTTCTTAATGTTCTGAGAAGGAACAATCACAACATGTAGGCATTTAAAATACCCAATTTGGTATCAAAGAAAACACATTATATAAGCCAAAAAAGATGTGGTCTTGGGAAGAAAAACTCCCTTACGGTAAACCGAAAAGTAGCACCAAAGGTTACTGTATAGGAAAAAAGGAATCCTTAATGTAAACAATCGGAGAACGGGCTGCCCGGGGGCCAGTGACTGAGGAAGGACGTGAGGGCCAGTGGAGAGGGCTGCTGTCTGAGCACTCCCCGCACACAACTGCTCCGTAATCAGTGGGGTTACACGCTCGGGCTGCACATGTGCTGTGGACGTCACCAGAAAGGACTTGGGAAGTGAGAAAGCGGACCCCACCTCGATCAAGCAAACCATGATATGTCCGCTTAGCACCTCTGACCTGCCATACGGTGTAGTACTTGGTGGTGAGTCATTCCGTGTCTGTGTCTGCCCTTGTGGATTTTAAATTCTAGCAGAGGTTTCTGTCTGTCTGCCTGGCACAGGGGAGGGACTCAACAGGTCCTGCCGAGTGACAGCAACGACAGCTCATCCATCCTAATGTCAGGTTGAAACCTTACCCCCCTGGCCCAGTGAAAACGCCAGTGTCTGCCAATTATGTTTACGGGAGCGGGAGCCAAAGAGAAGACCCTGGAGCTGTCGGTTACAGAAAACAGCGGTCAGGAGCCTTAAACCAAAAGAAAGACCCCTGTTCACTGTGCAGAGTTGAGGGCGCACGTCTGTCCCACATTTACTTCTTTGTGAGTTCCCTGAAACTCCTACTCTTAAAATCTCGAATTTGTTTGCCTCTAAAACCGTGTTCCTTTGTGGTTTTCAGATTATAATCATGTTCCCTCTCACCATGTATCTTGCTGGGCTGAAGCTTCAATTGTGTTCTTAAATTGTTTTTGTTTTTAACATCTGAAATTATGCCTCTCCAAGACCTTAAGAGTCTCTTCCTTGAAGTGTGACAAGCAGAATGTCTACATATGGACATACCATGTGCTTGATCAAAGGGTGGGGGGTAGGCTGCAGATTTTAAGAAAGGTCTGAGACAGTGGCGTCTGAACAAAGATCTGAAGGAAGAGAGCGCGCTAGTCACAAGGCTATCTTGGCCAAGAGCAATCTACATGTAAGAAATAGCTGGTGCA